GAGTACCCGGTGACCCCTGTGAAAGGGTCGTTCAACCCCCAAAGGGGTCGCAACCCACAGGTTGAGAACTGCTGCTTTACAGGCTTACAGGCTTGGTTTTGTGTATAGGCATACCTCAGAGATACTGCAGATTTGGTTCCAGACCACCACAATGAAGTGAATATAGCAATAAAATGAGTTAACACAAATTTTATGGTTTCCCAATTCATATAAAAGTTATGTTTATACCATACTGTAGTCTGTTAAGTGTGCAATAGCATTATGTCTAAAAAATGTACATAATTTAAAGATAGTTTATTGTTAAAAAATGCTAACCGTCATCTGAGCCTTTAGCAAATTATAATCTTTTTGCTGGTGGAGAGTCTTGCCTCAATGTTGATGGCTGCTGACTGATCAGGTATTAATTGCTGAAGGTTGGGGTGGCTGTGGCAATTTCTTAAAATAAGACAACAGTGAAGTTTCCTGTATCGATTGACTCTTCCTTTCATAAATGATTTCTCTGTAGTATGCAATGCTGTTTGATAGCATTTTACCCACACTAGAACTTCTTTCAAAATTAGAGTCAATCTCTCAAATCCTGCAGCTACTTTATTTACTAAGTTTATGTAATATTTATATCCTTTGTTGTCATTTCAACAATCTTCATAGCATATTCACAGAAGTAGATTTCATCTCAAGAAACCACTTTCGTTGCTCATCCATAAGAAATAACTCCTCATCCATCAGAGTTTTATCATGAGATTGCAGCATTTCAGTCACATCTTCAGGCTCCACTTCTAGTTCTCTTGCTATTCCACCACATCTGCAGTTACTACCTCCACTGAAGTCTTGAACCCCTCAAAGTCATCTATGAGGGTTGTAATCAGCTTCTTCCAAGCTCCTGTTAATGTTGATATTTTGACCCCCTTTCCATGAATCACAACTGTTCTTTTTTTTTAAAGATTTTATTGGGGCATTGGGGGAGGGGAACAGCGCTGGGAAATCAGGGAAGGGAAACAGACAAGTTGCTGTCGTTTTGTTCTTCAGTCTAGTTGTGGAGGACGTCGCTTCACTGGCCGATGTTGGTATTGTGATCATTGCGCTCTTACCGGGTGAGGCAGTCTTTCACTGGCCATTGGACGGCCGCTCACGGCGGCTCACACCAGCTCACGCCAGCCACTCACCGTAGCTCATGGCAGCCCACTGCAGCCCCACTGCAGCCTATGCCGTCGCTGGCAACTGATGGCAGCCCAACTCCAGGTCGAGTTGTTGTTCACCATCTTAGCTGTAAAGGGCACAGCATCACTGGCCCTCATGTGGGATCCGAACCACAGCCCTGCTGCTCAGAGCTGGCACTCCCAAGCCAACATTAACCAACGCACCACTCGGCCGACCCACAACTGTTCTTAATGGTATCCAGAATGGTGGATCTTTTCCAGAAGGTTTTCAATTTACTTTGCCCAGATCCATCAGAGGAATCACTATCTATAGCAGCTTTAGCTTTATGAACCATATTTCTTAAATAATAAGACGTGAAAGTCAAAATTACTCCTTGATCCACAGACTGCAGGATGGATGCTGTGTTAGCAGGCATGAAAATAACATTAATCTTGTCCTTCTCCATCAGAACTCTTGGGTGATCAGGTGCATTGTCAATGAGCAGTAATATTTTGAAAGGAATCTTTTTTCCCCCACTGAGTAGTGGGTCTCAAGAATGGGCTTAAAATGTTGTAGTAAACTATGTAGTAAACAGATATGCTATCATTCTGGCCTTGTTGTTTCATTTATAGAGCACAGGCAGAGTAAATTTAGCATAATTCTTAAGGGCCCTTAGGATGCTAAAAGAGCATTGCCTTCAACTTAAAGTCACCAGCTACATTAGCTCCTAATAAGAGAGTCAGCCTGTCCTTTGAAGCTTTGAAACCAGGCATTGACTTCTCCTCTCTAGCCATGAAAGTCCTAGATGGCATCTTCTTCCAATATAAGGCTGTTTCATCTATGATGAAGATCTGTTATTTAATATAGTCACTGTCATTATCTTAGCTAGAGCTTCTGGATAACTTCCTGCAGCTTTTAGATCAGCACTTGCTGCGTCACCTTGAACTTTTATGTTGTGGAGATGGCTTCTTTCCTTAAATCTCATGAACCAGCCTCTGCTAGCTTCAAACTTTTCTTCTGCAGCTTTCTCACCTCTCAGACTTCATAGAACTGAACAGAGTTAGGGTCTTGCTCTAGATTAGGCTTTGGATTAAGGGAATGTTGTGGCTGGTTTGATCTTCTCTTCAAACCACTAGAACTTTCTCTATATCAGCAATAAGTTTTGCTTTCTTATTATTTGTGTGTTCACTGGAGCAGCACTTTTAATTTCCTTCAAGAACTTTCCCTTTGCATTCACAACTTGGCTAACTGTTTGGTGCAAGATGTCTAGCTTTTGGCTTATCTTGGCTTTTCACTTTTCTTCCTAAGTTTAATCATTTCTAGCTTTTGATTTAAAGTGAGAGACATGCGACTCTTCCTTTCACTTGAACACTTAGAGGCCATTGTAAGGTTATTAATTGGGCTAACTTCCATACTGTTGTGTCTCAAGGAATAGGGGGGGCCTTAGGAGAGGGAGCGAGACAGGGGACCACCAATTGTTGGAGCAGTCAGAACATACATGTTTGCTGTTTTATATGGGTGTGGTTTGAACCCCAAAGCAATTACATTAGTAACATCAAAGATCACTGATCACAGATTACCATAACAAATATAATAATAATAAAAAAGTTTTAAATATTTGAGAATTATCAAAATGTGACACAGAGACAAGAAGTGAGTAAATGCTGTTGGAAAAATGGCACTGATATGGACTTGCTTGACGCGGGGTTGCCACAAACCTTCATTTTGTAAAAAAAATACAGTATTTGCAATGTGCAATAAAGTGAAATGTAGTAAAATGAAGTATGCCTGAAAAGTTGGGAAAAGGTTGAAGCACCAGGCTGAAAATCTGGATTCTGAACAGTACGATATCTAGCCTTCCTCCCATTCTTATTCAATAAAACGGGCAGTTAGGCTTCTGCCCTCCTCCAACACCTATCCCTAGACAGGAGTCTAGAAGATTCTTATCAGAAAACATCTAATAGTCCAGAAAGGAAACTTTTTTATTTTTTTTAAAGATTTTTATTGGAGAATTGGGGGGATGGGAACAGCACTGGGGAATTGAGGGAAGAGGAACAGACAAGTTGCTCTCTTTTTGTTCTTTAGTTGTGAAGGTCGTTGCTTCATTGGCCCAAGTTGACACCATTATTGTGCTCTTCCCGGGCGAGGCAGATCAGTCGCCGGCTTCTGGACAGCCGCTCACAACGGCTGCTGGCTGCTCACGCTGGCTGCTGGCTACACACGGTAGCCCATGGCAACCCACTGCAGCAGGGGCTGCAGCCTACGCTGTTGCTGGCTACTCACAGCAACCCAGCTCCAGGTTGAGCTGTTGTTCAGCATCTTAGCTGTAGTGGGCAGTGTCACTGGCCCTCATAGGTGGGATCCGAACCGGGGCCCTCTGGTGTCCCAAGCCAGCTCTTAACCAACGCACCACTCGGCCGGCCCCAGAGAGGAAACTTTTAAACACTGACATTTAAAATTCCCCTCAGAGAAAAAGCTGCTTAATATCCCACCTCTATAGCTCTACAGTGAAGTTCTCCAATGGACAAGCTATATCCATGCACATAAAGCTTAAAATAAACTTTAAAATGTTTTATTTTGTTTTTGAATAGGCTTTATACTAAAATGGCTCAGAATTCAAAAGATTCAAAAGGGTACAATGAAGTTGTCTTCTGTCCATCACTACCTAGTTCCCTTTTCATGCAACTGTTTAGTGCCTTACTAATATAAATAGAAAGTCTACATGAAAGACAAAGACCAAAATAAAGAAATAAGAAACAGGGCCAGCCGAATGGTGCATTGGTTAGGAGTTGGCTTGGGACGCCAGCTCTGAGCAGCAGGACCCCGGTTCAGATCCCACATGAGGGCCAGTGACGCTTCGCCCTCTACAGCTAGGATGGTGAACAACAGTTCAACCTAGAGCTAGGCTGCCGTGAATCGCCGGCAACGGTGTGGGCTACAGTGGATTTGGCCAGCAGTGCGTGTGCACTTTTGTGAGCCGCCGTTAGCAGCCATTCAATGGCCGGTGAGCGACTGCCTCACCCGGGAAGAGCGCAATGAAAATACCAACATGGGCCAGGGAAGCGATGTCCTCCACAACTAGACTGAGGAACCAAAGGGCAGTAACTTGTCTGTTCCCCTTCCCCAGTTCCCCAAAGCTGTTTTCCTCCCCCAATTCCCAATTAAAAAAAAAAAAGAAGAAACAAAGAGAAAAGAGAAAAATTGTATAGATAGAGAAGAAAAGCCCAAAAAAGGAAAAGAATAATATCCTGGAGGCAGAACAGAAACTATTACATCGGTGAAATATGAATAATATCCTATTAAAAAGGGAATATTCAGAGTATAAAAAAAGAGAACTCTTGGAAATTGAAAACATGAAATATAAATATTTAAAATTCAACTTGAAAAGTTAGAAAAAGAAGTTTATATAATCTCACAAAAAGTAAAATACCAAGATGGAAAATTGGATGCAGAAGATAAGAAGATTAAATAAGAAGATTAAAAGAAGATTAAAGGAACCAGATAGATTGAACAATGAAAAGAGGGGGAATGAATAATTACATAATAATACTTTTTTTTCTAGAGCAGAAGGACATAAGTTTCTAGGTCAAAAGGACTCAGCAAGTGCCTAGTGCAACAAATAAGGAAAGACCCATCTCAAAGCACATCATTGTGAACTTCCAGAACACTGGAGGTCAGAGAAGAGAATCTAAAAGCTTTCAGACATGAGATACAAAGGCTAGAGAATTAAAATGACATTAGATATCATAATAGCCACTCTGGGAGCTAGAATTCTATACCTGGGCAAACTATCAATCAAGTGCAAAGACATTTTCAGTTACATTAGTAAGCAAAAATTTTACTTCCTTTGTTTACTTTCTTAGGAAGTTACTGGAAGATATGCACCATCAAGACGAGGGAGTATATTAAGGAAGAAGAAGACATGGAATCCATACAACTGTGGGTAGAGTTGCCTTGGCACTAAGCAGCACAGAGGGAAAATGAAGAAAAGGAGGGACAGAGGAAGAATGAAGCAATGAGGTAAGTGCAAGAAGAGAGCAGAGTCAGGAGATAAAGAGAGTCCTCCCTGGCGTCAACTCTTCCTGAGGCCCATTTTTAATCCTGTATTTGCTTTCTGAGGTACCCGACATCCTTGTAATAAATTCTTCTCCTTAACTAATTCACATTGGGTTTCAGTTACATGCCACCAAAAGTTTCCTGCTGACACCATTGCTACTCAAGGAGTTAGGACTAGCAACATCAATATCACCTGGAAGCTTGAAGAAATGCAGACTCTCAGGCCTCCCCCAGACCTACTCAAAAGAATCTGCATTTTAACAAGATTCCCAGATGATTTATATGCACCTAAAGTCTGAGAGCACTGTCCTAATTAATACCTTGCCAAGGTTGGGTACCAGGCATATTAAAGATAATACGTAAACTACCTGGCCACATGATAGGTACTCTGTAAGTAGTCTGTAGGTGATGATGATGATGATGATGATGATGATGATGAAGAAACTAGAAAAACTTTGGAATGACAATCTCAGGGAGAGTTCCTGGGACCATGGCAACTGGTGGCTGTGAACCAAATTACAAAAACAGGCACACAACAGAAAAGGCAGAAAGCACACATACCAGGACAGGTTTCAGCTCTACTCCGGGAACCTGTCAGGTTAGTCAGCCCAGGTGTTGACATGGGAAACCATTAAGAAAATCCATCTCTCAGGTGTGGCAATTGGCTGTGAGTGAGTGACAGACATTCAGCATCCGGGATGACGCTTGGCTGGGGGAATGCTGAGCTAATGCTACCTTTCTCAGCAGAGCAAGCATTCTGCCCCAGCACTCAGGAAGTAGGTCAGAAGGAAATATCCGGAGTGAGCAGCTCCTAATTGCTTTTTCAGGCAGAAACCTGTGGCCCATAGGACTGGGGATGGAAGGGGGATGGGAATGAGAGGAGGTTGGGGGCCCAGTGCAGGGGTAGGGGTAGGAAATCGCATCTCATTCTTGGCAGGAGCACGGTTGCCTCTCACATAGTTTTCCTGGCTCCAGTCCTTTGGCATTCAGCCACCTTCTTTGTGCTTGGGGGGTTCCATTGACTGTCCAATGCTAAAGAAATTTAAATAGAAGCTGCGATTTTAAAGATTTTAAAAGAAAAAGATGTGCTTGTAGAAAGCTGGTGTCCCATCTCAGCCGTCAGTTTGTTATAGATAGAGGATGGTTATCCCAGGTCCATACCTCCCAGGAGTTGTAGGTCATCGTTTTCTAATTGTCCCCTGGTTGTATGGCACTATACTCAATCCTTGAGAATCTTTACCAGAGAAGCACTCCAGCTCTCCAAGAATTTACACAATGGAGTCCCCAGTCCTTTAAACCACCTATAAAAATCCCATCCTTTTCAGAAATGACAAACTCTACCATCATCAGGTGGCTGTCCCTGTGAAGGCCGATTGTAATTACCAGCTGTGCAGCCATCACCACAGCGAGAAAAGCCTAACATTGACCTTGAGTAGCAGCAAACACCTAATAACGTGCTTACTATGTACCAGGCACTTTTCTGAGTGCTTTATTTTAACTCATTTAACCCTCACAACAACCTGTGAGGTTAAATACAATTTCAGTCCCCATTTTACAGATGAGAAAGCTGAAGGCTAAAGAGACTAAATGAGGTCACATAGTGAGTAAGTGGCAGTCTGGCTCCAGAGCCCCTGTTCTTTAACCATTGTACTTAAATCAAGATACCCTTGGTAGGACAAGGTGTTGGCGATAGCTCTAGCTAACCCCATTTTAGCCCTAACAAGCTATCTGATTTTAGCTCAATAACTCAGAGGCAATATGGTGAGGGGCCAGAGCAGAGGCGTCAGAGTTGAGAGATCTGGATTCCACTTCTGGTGCTGCCACTTAGGAAGGAAGGATACTAATGCTGATTGAATGCAGAGTATGCATCAGGTGCTGGGTGCTCTCCATGCTTAATCTGCCCAGGTAGTCTGTGTGACCTTAGGCAAGTCACTGTCCCTTATTGGGTTTCAGTTTCCTCACATGTCAAGTGCACCAGGTGGTTTCAGTGATTTAGTTTGAAAGCACTCACTGCAGTTACTATGTGCACAAGTGCCATGTGGGTGCCGAAAGGGCACGGAAACCTTGCCATCGTCAGGCTCACAGTCCAGTTCCTTTCATTGTATAAATCCTTTGGAGTTGAGCAAGTCAGTTATTAGCCCTGTTTTTTTACAATGGGAAAAATGATGTTTGAACATGGAAGGTCACTTGGTTCAGTTGTAGTTGGAGTGTGACCCCAGGTTAACTCCTGGCTCGGGGCTCTTTCTGCTCTCAATTCTCCTACCTCATCTTGACATCACTGTGACTAAAAATGACAGAGGCTACTTTGAGTTCCTAACTTCCCACAGTCATTTTGTACCACCTTTCTGCCTTCCGCCATCCCAACAAGCACACACACACACACACACACACACACACACACACACACAGAGTGCTGGATCCCTGAAACACACAATCAGTGCTGTTGAGTGACTGAAAATCAGCCCCTTCTGGCAACCCTCCTTTCTTTGGACTCCAGAAGCCCAAAGCTGAGGTGGTGGATGCACTGTCAGCAAAGCCACAGCTACCGTATGCATTGTGACTCATTATGCTATCAGCTGACTCAGAACTGAAGCCTCTTGCCCCATCAAGTAATTACTGGTGAACAGGAAGACCAGCTAAAGATAAGATCACTGGTGGCTGGGAGGAAGGGGTCAGTGAACGCAACCTTTTGTTAACACACATCTCTACCACTGTAGGCTCCAGTACAGCAGCCAGCACAGAACCCTGCACACAGTAGGTGCTCAACACAGCTTTACTGGTGGATTAGCTGCTCTGAGCTACTCTGCCCAGCACAGCTGCAGGATGAGGTTGCTAGACAGGAACATATGTGTGTCTAGCACCTGAAGGAAATGACTTCAACTCCCTCATGTTGAGTGGAGCTGAGCTAGGCCTGTGAGAACCGCAGCACTGAAAATCTGTCCTTTAAAGAACACTATGTTATAAACTCACTTCTGCAATCTGTCCCAAGAACTTCCTTTTCTGTGCTCTAAGTTGGGATAGAGGAAGAGGCACAGCATCCTCATGCCTTCCTTGAAGTGGTGTTAAGAGTACAGAAGGAGTTTAGAAATCATTTAGTCTAAACTCCTCCTGGTCACATCTTCCTAAGCTTCTCCATGTTGATGTTCTTCCCAGGCTTACCAGGTCTATTTCTTGGCAATAACCCTCTCCCAAGGCTACAGTCGGGAGACAAAAAAGCTTTTGTGAGCTTTCAGGAACCAAGGCCACTATTGCTCATTGTAGGAGGTCATCCCCCAACATCTATTTGACCTTCTTGCAGGGTTGTAGAATTTTTGACTGGGTGCATGACCACCTCACTAAGGTCAACCCTTCCCAATCTTTCTTGCAGAATGTCTACATGGCCAAGTTCTGGTTATTGAGAAGTTAACAAGGATGATTGCACCCTTAAAAGAAACGCCCTCCTTATTCCCTCTTTCCTTGGTTGGAACATGGACATTGATTGTGGTGAGCCTCCTTTAACCATGTGCATAAGCCAAACATCCTAAGAGTCCTAGCAACAAGCTAGGAGGAGCCTGGGTTCCTAACATTGTACATCAACCATATTATTCCTGGACTATTTACACTTAGACTGTTACACACAGTCTCATCCAAGCCTTTATTATTTTGGGTCTTGCTAGAGCAGCCAAACTTGTATCCTAGCTAACACAACCTCTTTTGGGGTGCCAGGGCAGTTACAATCTCCCCTTATCCAAGATTCCCCCACTCTACTCACCCAGGAGGTAGTCTAGAGAGATTATCATAGTGGTCTATGAATGGCTGGCTCATCTGACTGTGGCTGAATGGACTAGGGGTGGGCATCCCATCCAAGCAGGGCCAACCAATCAGATTCCTTCTCCTATGAATTTGCAAATGAGATTCACTGTTGTTATCTAACCTTTGCCGATTACATGAACCAAGATGCACAGGAAGAAGCAGAAATGAGAGGCCAGGCATCCCTGGAGAGTCAGAGCGAAAGAAGCTGCCTGGGTTGGTATGCGCTTTCTACTTTCTGGCTCCAGGCCTTTGTACGGCCTCCATGATCACTCCGCACATGGCTCCTGGAGGAGACCCTGCCACTTATAATAAATTCCCTTTTGTGGTCTTAGATACTTTAGGTTCATTTCTGTTACCTGTAACCAAAAGTGCCTAAGTCTCTTCTGATTCCTGTGGAGATCTGGGTATCCTTGCAAGCCAGGGTACCCTGGCCTCTGCAGCCCATCCCCTGGCACACTAGATCCTTTCATCATTGCAGCGATAGAAGGATCTGAGGTGAACTGGACAGATAGAATAATCGCCTGATTCATTGGCTAGCAGATCAATCCATGGATTTTCCAAGGGATGCTAAGCAGGCCTGATGGAATCACAGAATCAGGGGTGAAAGGGACAAAAGGCATCAGGCAAAGTGTGACCATGGAGGTTTAGTGATGTGCCCAAAGCCACACAGTTCTGCGGCAGAGCCTGGACTGCAATGCTAGCCCTGGACCCCAGACTTATTCTCCTTCCCCTGCCATCCCTGGCTGGCCTGATTTTAAAGGTGGCTCTGACACACAGGGGATAGCTCCCTCATGCTAAGCAAACTCCCTGACAGTTACATCAAGCCTGTCCTCTCTGCGCTCCTAGGAAAAATGTGAAATAGTCTTTTTCTTTTTTTTTTCTGGATAATTCTCTCTAATTCTATATCTTACTGTGCATTTTAAAGAAGTAATGAGTGTCCCTCCACTGTGTGTCAGGCACTGTGCATGGCACTTTCCAGCTACTATTTCATTTAAACCCTACAAGCACCCGTTTTCCAGGAGAAGAAGGTGGGGTTGAGAAAGGACAAGCACACAACACAGGTGACACTACTTGCTCAAGACCCACAACTAGTAGGAATACAAGAACAGGACGCCAAATGGTCTGGCTTGAAACCATGTGCCTTTTACACAATGCCATACTTCCTCCTGAGGATCGGCCTTTTCAATTATTTTTGCCTTTACTTTACAGACTTCTCCATGGGCACATGCTCAACAGGTCTCGATTTGGGTCAGTCAGTGCTGGGCTGTGAGACCCAGGGGATGAGGTGGGGGCGGGGAGTGTGCCCTGTGGTGCCCACAGGAGGCTCAGCAGGTGGCACTCTTCTCACAGACAAGCCCTCTCATTTCCTCCTCTTGGGGCTTGGCCTCCCTCCCTCTCTGCCTCCACCTGGTTTCGCACTTGCCTCCGGCCCTGCTTCCTTCTTCCATCCCAAGGCGTTCTGTAGTGCCTGGGCCCTAACACCACTCCTGCCTCTCTCGCTCATCCTCAACAAAGGACATCTTGCTTACTCCGCCTGAGTGCTTCCTTCTTCAGAGAAGTAACCTAGTTATCTCATTTTTTCCTCAGAGAAGGAGACACAGGCCCCACACCTCAGAGCTCAGCCTGCCTGCTTTTTGAGTTATGTTTGCACCCAGGACTGAGTATCATCCTAGCTCAGGTTTCCAGAGGCCTGAGGACAGGACTATATCTTCACAGGAGGGTGACAGGCATTGTCAGTGACCTATGAAAAACAAACAGCTGTTATGCAAAGACAAGGAAGCTGCTTAGCTTGGGGAGGCTGTCGTCCTGAGCTTGACCAAAGCCTGAGGTCTTGACCTCTTCCATTTAGCATATAAGTTCACACCCTGATACTACTCACAGGGGCCAAGTAGGGACTTCAGGAAGATTCTGTACTTCCATGGTCTCTCTGAAGAGTCAAGGGTAAGCAGTTATGTGAATGTGTAAAAGGTGTGTGTAGGGGGGGTTGGGGTGGGGGTAGGGTGGGGGGGACACTCTCTGATTTCATTGTGGAGTAGAAATATAGATACAGAAATACAGAGATATAGTCTCTACAGTGGAAGTTATTATAATCGATCTCTATAGAGATCTCTAAAATAGAAATAATAGAAATAATAGTCTATAGTTATCTCTCACTTTTGATAAATAAGTGATTCTCAAAGGAGAAATGCAGGCCCCACTGAGAAGATACATCAGAATCTCGGGACCAGAGTGATAAATGGGAACATTTTATATTTATCAAAAGGAGCATAATTGTTTTAAAAGGACTGATTTAGCCCTCCCAAAAGCTACATCTGCTTCCTGTTTTTTTCTCTACTTGGGCTTCCCTTCAAAGCCCAGCTCAACTGGGAAGCCTTCTTCAGCCCCAGAAGCTAAATTTATCCCTCTTTCTCAGTTCTCCCTAAGTGTTTGGCCATTCCACTAGCACAGCACGTACTATGAGATGTTACAGAGGGCTACAGGGAGACGGTGGCCCCATGGGCGAGCACATGACATTCTATACCCTTTGCATGGTCCAGAGACAGGCAGGAGAAGGTCCCATTAATTGGCTGAGAGGAGGTGTTGATGTAGGAAGCGTGTGGGAGGAGAAGACTGGAAAGAAAAGGGAGGAATACTCTGAGGGTCAGGGTACATGTCACAGGGGATTTTATCTGAAGTGATAGGCTACAGAAAGGAGTACTTTTAATGGGCTAGAGGTAAAGTGGTTAGAAAAAGCTCATGAGAATTTGCTGGGGCAAAGGAAGTTCTCAGGAAGGTAAAAGCTTGGTTCGAGGAGATTTCTGAGTACAGAAAACCAGGACCACGTTGCTATTCTGAATGGTTGCCGGCCTAGATTTAAGATGCAGTCCTACAGACAGGAAGGCTATAGGAGCAGATTTACATTTCTCCAGGATTGGAAACCAGAGTGGGAAGGAAGAAACCAAAGCAACGAGACTAACCTGGCCACTGGGAATAACTGTGGCAACCTTTCCTGAGTGACCAGACTGTGGACCTACGAATTACTAATACCTCCATGTTTATACCTCAAGCTTTCTTGCATTCTGCTCATTAATTACGTTCCTTTCTAAAGAGAAAGGAACGTACGTAGTACGTAGGTTCAGGGGCTTGGTCTTGGGAGGAGACATGGCTGGATCCTTGGGTGGTGACAGCAGAATTTTCAGGGGTGGACGGCCAGAAAACCATCTATGTGGGTGCTGACTTCCTTACAGTGAAAAATGTGATTGCTCTGGTCTGGGGATGAGGACAATAATGACACAGATTTCTCCAGTAGCATACCCCTCGCCCCTCTACATAGGAAGGAGGTCAAGATGCAAAAAAAAGGGACTTTCTGACTATGAAATGGGTCCGTCTACCAATTTATACATTAGAATCCAGACTTCTGAATGGTGTGAGGAAGCTGCATAGTGCTCGCCTGGCTGGCTCATACCTTTCAGATTTGTCCAAAAGGGAACACCCTTCCACACAGCAGCCTTTTACGTGACCTAATTCCAGAGACAAGAATCTCGAGTTATGCCAATAAAGGATTCAAAATGCCTGGACGCTCCCCTTCCAAAATAAACGCCGTGATTCTCTGGCACTTGCAATGCTAAAATTGCCTGCATTTCATGAAAAGAGTGTTGTCCTGGGTCCTCTAACCTAAGCAAGGTGGTCGTGGTGAAGCCCGGAACTTGTTAAGAGGACATCATAAGAGAGATGGCGGGGAGGAACATGTGTAAGTCAGAGCACAGGGTCCCTCCAAAGGCTTCCTAGGCTTCTGCTTCACAGCCTGAGCCTTTCTTCTGCCTCCCAGACCTGTCTTCACAATAGTAGATGAGGTCAGTGTCCTGGCCAGCACACAACTCGCTTCCCCTTTCTTCCTGGGCTTGTCATTAAGGGGTGTCTGTGAAGCTCTCAAGCTCCTCGGGATAAAAGGACTCGTCTGGCCCCTGTGCCTCTTCTCATGGTTCCCTGAGCCCTCCAAGGAGGCTCATGCAGCCACGTGGGGTGGCTCTGGCCGCAGCCCTCCGTCAGGCTGGCAGGGTGCTCTCGCCCCGAGCCCGTGGGGCCCATGGTGTTAGCTGCTCTCTGTTCTTTGCTTGTTCCCCGCCCGTTCCCCAAGATGTTTTGATTTCCTCACCTCAGCTCTCTGTTTGACCACAGAGGTTGGGCAATTACCATGGGCAGCGGGGCCAGGGCCCCCTTCCTAGGAAAGGGCTTCTCCTTCACAAGTGATCTGAAGTCACCCCGAAGCCTGGGCCTTCCCCTGGCACTCTGGTCACTTTCTCTGGGCATTACCATTCAAAGGTCTCATGCCCAGAAATGGAGGCGGTACTGTGGCCAGGTCAGGAGTGCAAGCTCTGGGGTCACCCACCCTGAGCACGAGTCCTGGATCTTCCACTTACTAGCTATGTGATCTTGACCTTCACCCCTCTGTAAATGAGGTTCAGAATAGTTCCTCTTTTACAGAGATGTTGTGCGGATTAAGCAAGACAATTTGTTTGAAGTTGGCCTTTGATAAGTGCTATCAAAGTGGTTTTCTTTTCTAAGAAATGTTGTCAATGGTAGCCCTGTAGTCACCCTATGGATTCAGATCAGTAAGTCTTCCTTGGAGAGCCAAAACAAATAGCTTTTCCTGCCTCACCCACTGCCTTTCCTGCCTCAGAATAGTTGCACTTTCTGGCTGGGCCCAAGGGACAGTGTATAAAGTTACAGAAGAGGTGCCTGCAGTTCACCTGATTTACCTCTCCAGACAGGAACAGGCTGTGGGTGTAAAGTTCTTGCTTCACCTTAAGTATCACCTCATTTTCCTTTGCCCAGTTTAAGGGTGGTGATACAGTGTAACTTGGTCACCATTTTCAGTATTTTCCTTTCTAGAGAGAAGAATTACACTTTGCCACTTCCAGGTAGGGAGCCCAAGGCCACGGCAGGGCATGGCCTCTGAATCAGACCTGGGAGAGACTGCAGCCTGACCCTCTCCCTCCCACTGCTTTCATTGCTGTCATT